GTAAAGAACGACATGAGGGAAGGAGAATAGCAGCAAAGGATACAAGCAAAAAAGTCAGCGCAATAGAAGAGAGAGAAGAGACGAAAAAGAGTAATCAACAGACAGTAAGGAATAGGTAAGCAAGATAAAGAAAGATTAAGTAGTGGAATATAACAAACGGGAGCAGCTAATCATGCAAGGAAAAATAAACAAAACGGAAGTGGGAACGTCAGAAAAGAGCATGTATCAAACCAGAAATATAGTCGCGATCGCAGAAGGTCGATATGTAGACAGAAGGTAAGAGGAACAGGAAAGGGAGAGCCAATAAGTAAAGATGAGAGGAAAAACAGGAGAAGCAAGGGAAACAAAAATCAAGTCAATATCAAACAGAAGAGCACAGTATAAGATAACAACGGTTAGCATTTAGAAGAATGAGAATAAGGGAAAGAAGGTAAGGAAGGGTACAGGATAAGGCAGGAGAGAAAATGAACAAATGGAAAGAAGAAAGGAGTAAAATCTAAAAAGTAATACAAGACATAAGGAACAAAATACAGAAGACGAGAAGGAAAGGGAATAAATAGGAGGTAAAGACGACATAAAGGCGAATAGGAAAGCAAGACAACAGAAGAGGGAGAAAGGAGGGAAAATTAAGCAAAAAGTTAGAAAGGGAAGGAGAAAACAAGAGAAGAAGGGAAATAAATAATTATTAAGGAAAGAAGCAACAACAAGACAAGAGGAAAGGAAGAGCAAGAGACAGAAAGAACACTACGGGAGACTGACGAGATGAAGGGAATGAAAAAAAGAGATAAGAAGGGTAGGGAAGAGGAGAGAAGGGACTAAAGGTAGACAAGAAAGTAAGAGAGAGTAAACATCAAAAAGACAGAAAACAGAACATACAAGTGGACAGCAAGAGGAAGGAAAGAAGAAGAGATGTGGGAATAGCAAGGAAAAAGCAAAGGAGGAACCGAGCAACAATTCAGGACGAAAGCGATGATAGGATAAGGAAACAAAAGAGAAAGAGAGGAGAAAGAGCAGAAAAGAATAGAAGAGAAAAATACGAGACAGGACAGTAAAGGAATATAACATAGAAACAAGTAGTCGACAACGGGAACGACAAAAAAGCATATGAAGAGAGGAAGAAATGAGATAATAGCCTACTGGAAAATTGATATGGAAAACGATAAAGAGAAGAGATGAAGAGAAAGGAGCCGCAGTAAGAGCGGAAATAAGCTACAAGAAAGAAAAAACAAGGGCGAAAGGAACAGGTAACATAAGTAATGAAAAATGCATGAAAAAGGGAAAAGCAACAGGATATAAAAGAGATTCAAGACAGAAGAAAAATGAATGAGCAATAAATACAAATGCTAAATACAGCAAATAAGAAAGGAGCAAAGCATAATAGAAAGCCGAATAGATACGATAATAAAAAATGTAGGTACGAGCTAGGAAGAAAGTTAAAGATAGCAGTAATAAGTAAGAAACAGGACAAGGGAAAGCATTAGATAAGAAAGGGAGAAGTAGAAGGTAGGATGAATAAGGATCAACAAGAAAAACAATCAATAGCGTAACGAGGATGAGGGAAGGAGCAATGGATGAAACAGACGGCAAAAGAGAGAGAAGATCAAAAAGGAAAAAAGAAAATATGTAACAGGAAAGACAAAACAAAAGGAAGACAGAGCGAGAGAGAGAGAAATAGCAAAAATCATCAGTAAAGAGAAAATCGAGAGAAAGACAAGAAAGAAAGAAGAAAGGACAAGAGATAGAAAGAAGCGACGAAAGTAAGAGGCGAACAGGAAAAGGGAGACAAAGTGGAGAAAGAATAAAGAAAAAAAGCTAAATACAATGGACAGAGGCCAAGATAGATATAAGAGCGAGAGACATAGATCAGAGGTAAGAATACAAGCGAGAACAAGAAAGGTAAGAACAAAAACAGGAACCAGAGACAACCGGGAAGGAGAACAAACGAGAAAGATTAGGTGGTAAAGTTAAAGTGAAGAAACACAAAAGAAAAAACAAAAATGAAATAAAAAAAAACGAGCTAAGAAAAGAAGTAGGGACATAAGACAGACAACACAATAGGAAGGAGAAGCAACAATCAGAGAAAGTACGTAAGGAAAAGCAATAAGGAAAGAATAAAAACAGGAGAGAAAAATACGACAAGGCACCGGAAATAACATCGGCAAACGACAGAGTATTACGGAAATAAGAAATGACGAAAGGTATCAAAGAAGCACGAGAGGAAGAAAGAAAGAAACGGAGAAAAACCAGAACAGGGCAGTATCAAGAGCTAATAAAAGGTAAAGGGAACAGGTAGCAAGACACAGAGAGACAAGAAGACGAAAAGAATGCAGGAGAGGCAAGCAAGAAAGTAAAAAGGAGAAGAGAGGAACAGCAACACGAATGACAAACAATAGAAACAAGGAAATGAGGATATGAGACAACGTTAAAAAGGGTCGATACGAAGAAAACACCAAACAATAGGCAAGAAAAGTGTTGCGATAGTAAGAGGGATGTAAGTATTTAGCGAGGCAGGGCAATAAGAAAAAGAGGATGAAGAGAAGGGAGTAACAGAAGGAAATGAGAAACACGACGGTAAGAAGAAAACGGTAGAAAACCAACGAATAAGCAACACAAGGGCAACAGGAGAAAAAAACACATTAGAGAAGCATACACTAAGACAAGGAAAGGGAGAAGAAGCAATGAACAAGAAGGCAACAGACAGGAAAGAAATAGGAAGTACTAAAGGAAATAACAGCTGAGAGGAAAGTGATAGAAGAATACAACAAATAAGTAGTAAAAATCAACGAGAAGAAGGAATAGACGAAACAAAAAGTAAAGAAAATAACATAACAAGAAAAGACAAAAGAAGAGAGAAAAGAACAATAGAGATAGAAAAGTAAAAATGATGACAGACATAAAAAGAAATATGGCAGCAGGAAGGGAGAAAGGACAGAGAAAGCGAGAAAGAAGAGACAGCAGGTATAAAAGGACAGTACGTAATATAATGAGTATAGGCAGCTACAAGAGGAACAGCTATAGGGATAACAGATACTGGAAAAGGAAATAGGAAAGACGGCAACAAAGGGAAGGCAAGAAAAAAAGAGACATATGAAAGCACGAGAGAGATAAGCAAC